CCCTACCACTGGAGACTCTCTTCCCGAAGCCCTGAGCCCTCGTTCTGCAGCGAGGGGCATCTATGGCTGTAAGCTGAAGGATGTTGAAGAAGCCGGAACAGAGAGCCAACGCCGTGCCTAAACCCGCACACCGGTGTCAGTTTTTCGAGTCTTCCTACTTAGAAGGCAGCTGCATATTGCAAGCAGTAGCACTGCAAAAACCAGGAGCAGGGATAGTTACTGTTGGTCTGATTTGGTGGTGGTTTCCTCCTAGACAAAACTCTTGCAAAGGTTTTCGTCATTCGCTCTTGGGGGTGCGCGGCCCTGAGCAGCAGTATGGTTCAAACCTCGAAGTGCATTACCGAATACATATACACATATGTATATATATATATGTATGTATACACATATACTTATAACTATACACTACTGTTGGACCTAATCTAGCATGTACTAGTTACCAGTGACCCTGACCTCTCAAGCCGCGTTCATGGGCAAGTGCAGCAGTTTGACCTGGGGGAGGTTAGGAGTTAGTCTTTAGTTTGGGCCTCAACATCTCAAGGGTGCGACGATTGGTCCTGCTTGGCGCCGCAGAGGAGCTTAGAGCACCAGGCTTAATTGTGTCTTCGTGAGTTCCGCAGTCTCGTGTCCAAGAAGCGCAAACGCCCTCAGTTCAGGAAAAGATGATAACTTTAAACCTAGATGAAATTCGTCACACAAGTCCGCAACGGTTTTGGGGTACTCTGGAGCCGAGCCGCTGATGGTCGCACAGATCTTGTGACGCTCTTCAAGCGGAGCCTTCTGGGCGACAGCCACGCTCCAAGAAAATTGAGGGGCCGTGATGCCCTAGGGTTCAGGGTTATGACAATCTACTTTTAGGATCTAAGGCCAATTTAGGGCCTTTCAACGACCGTCGGAAGCAAAGGACACAACTTTCAGAATCATACCAGCCCTCAACCCTGAATCGAAAACTGTCATAGCTATAACCAATCAAAATATAAGACTTTAGTATCGGAACACTCAGTTGTTGGTTTCGCTTTTATGGCTTTTCATGGCGTCCCGGATAGAAGGCTCGATGCTTGACCCGAAATCCTAAAACGCCAAACCCTCAAAGCCCGAAGGTCTAGATCCTAAAGATAAGGACTTCTGAGGGGTGCATTAACAAGTAATGACGAAAGTTGGGTTACAGCAGGTTGATGTAGGATTCATTCGGGTTGAAGAAGCGGACACGGCAACGAGTGATGAGCCATCCTCTCAGAGCAACAGCTGCAGGATGGACGCGCCAGCATGCTAGAAACAGCTGCGAGGCGAATGCTGGGAGAGATGCCTACAATCCTAACCTCAACACCCTGGGCTTCAGGACCCCAAACCCTTGAAGGAAGTGCCATCATCTGCAGAACCTCTGCATCAAGAATGCGCAAAGCCACCGATGCCACCGTCAATCCCAAACCCTATAGGCCCTACCAACACTGTCGCAGCTGTGCCTGCACTCCACTGTTGGCGTCCATGATTGAGGATCGAGTCATTCTCGCTTTGGCTTTGAGGATTCGGATTCGGGACTTCCGGTTTGGGGTCTCGGGCTTACGGCTTAAGGTTCAACCGGTTTGGGGTCTCGGGCTTACGGCTTAAGATTCAGAGTTTAGGGCCGAGGTGTCTTAGGGATAGATAGGATTCGAGAGTGAGGGTTAGGGCTTTGAAGGTTCAGGCTGATCCTGTGACTGCTGTGTGTGCGAGCGTGTGTGTGTGTGTGTCGTGGCAAGTGCCGTGCATGTAGCTGTGTCAGGGCTCAAGTCTCAGCTTCAGAGCTATGACACGGCAGCGGTGGGCACTGAAAAGATGCTTTGCTACGGGCTCCAGAGGACTTGGGGACGGCCTGGGTAGGGCTTCTGCTCGCATTTCTGGCTGCCCAACACTTTGCCCCTGAACAAACCCTGTGCGCGGGAATGCGCTGCTATACTGAAGGAAGCTTTGCACCAGCATGCCTGCAAAAAAGATGATGCACCTCCAGTTTTCTCCGCTCGCAAAGATAGTGACAAACATTGTATCGTGGGAGATGCTGTGCTCAGGTAAGGAGTCCACCACCTTGCACGGGCGAAGCTCTTCGGCACACATGGGAACACATAGATGGACCCAAGACCCGCCTGCCTTCAATAACCCCCTAAACCCTATACTCCTTTTCCTCAAAACTCCATGAACCTGAAACTCCTGGGGTCTTGGATGTTGACACCCGCCGGCTCGTGCGTGAGGTACGGTGGCTCAGCATTTGGGGACTTCAGGGTTTCTAAAGCCCAATTTGGCGGGGCAGGATGCGATTGGGGGGGGGGGGGGGTCGACCGTTCGAGCCAAGAGTATGGCTTGCAAATCTCTCGAAGTCTGACGGCCAATGAGCCCTAGATTTGAGAAGGGCTAAGGTTGTTGGGTTTGGAGTTTAGGTCCAGGTTTGGACTAATGTAAGGGTTCTCAGGGTCCAGGGTTTTGGTTTCGGTTTTCGTAGTTGATCATCAAAGGTTACGGGGACCCGACTCTGTGGTGCGGTCCTCGCCCTCCAGGGTGTGTGTAGCGGTTTAGATTTCTAGGTTTAAGGCTTATGGCTTAGGGCTCATGGAGTTTAAGGTTACGAGATTTTATGGCGCGATTGCTGTTTCGCTCCCCTCCTCCCTTTGGGGGTGCTCTGGCCTTTGGGTCGCTTGGGGCACCTTTTGTGCGTCTGCAGGATTTGGTAGGGGGCTCAAAACCCTATCAGCTGAGTTTAGACGGCGCACAGACACCAAACCACTTCACAGGTTGAGCAGGAGCCGACAGAAAGCTACGCCCTGCTCGCATCTTTCCCAAACCAGTGCTAGCAGCTCTACATCCCAAGCCACAGATGCGACAACTCCCTAAACCCCGCAGCCTCGAGAATTTTATGATGCAGGTCCAACGTGGCTTACCGCGATAAGGCTCCCACATAGGTGCATAGGCATCCCCACTTTCACTCAAATTTAGGGCTGCTCAGGGGAGGTCAGACTTCGAGAAACTTGCAAGTCGGGTCCCCGTAACCTTTAACTACTAAGCCCGAAACCAACCCTTCACCTTAGCCCAAAACCGGACCCTAAACTCCAAAACCCAACAACATTAACCCGGAAACCCTTAAACCCAAAACCACACCACAGGGGGTCTCCGCCCACCCTCTGCCTGGGCGCCAGAACTCTCGCAGCAGCCCATGATCTCTGGAGGGTTCGGGTTTGACTTAAGATTTGGGATGGCATTCATCTCCATTTCACTCTATACACATGCTCTAATTGTCTGCAGTATGAGGAGGAGTTTGCATTGCATGATGCACATCTCATGTATGTGTGTATGTGTGTGTCTGTGCGTCGAGTACGTGCATGCACATGCTGTGGTGCCACGTGGGAAGCTCGAGACATTGCTGCGGCATGCAAAGGACGTTTTGGACTCGCAAGCTCAGTGATTCCATAAGTAAGAGCGCGCGACGTTATGCATAAGCATGATGATGCATGATGGCTGTCCAGACAGCCGGCATCTCGGCACAGGGATGACATCGACATTTCCACCTTTGTCGGCCCATGGCCGCTGAATGTGCCCAGAGGTCCTGCTATGCTTCTGGCGGTGAAATGCCATGAGCTTGAGCGAGTTCGCAATCCATACATGAGGCTGTAGACCTCCTGTCCAAGTTGCTTCTTTGCATCAGGACAATGCCTATTCACCGTGAGTGTCACTTACACGTATTGCTTTCGCATGGCGTGTGACTGTCGGAACACACCCTTGATCGCGGCCGGTCACTCAGGCATTTTGTCTTGTGATTGCGCGGTGGAAAGATCACACGAGCAAAGCTGCGGCCAGCTTCAGTGTACAGCTTCCTGCATTGACACTCAGAAACGCCATGAACAACTCTCCAAGAACAGTCGGGACGCACACATGAACATGGCAAGAGGAAATGCAGCTCATCCAGCTGTGGCTTTCGCAAAATGCCCGATTTTGGGTGGACACGCTTGACTCCTTGAAAGACCGCCGCTCTCGAGAAGGCGAAGTCTGCAAAAGCTTTGAAAGTTGCACACAAAGGGCGCAGCTTTGTGCTGTGGTGGCCAACGCACACAATCCACAGCTTGAGGCAAACATCGGCGGCATCTGCCGCGAACAAATAAGTCACCTGGGCATCGTGCCCGGCAGCTGACACCGGAGGATCAGCGACTTCAAAGTCATTTCGCCTGTCGGAGATAAGAACAAGGCGCTCAGCTGAACCGCGCAGATACGAGAACACATTGCACACAGATATAATACCACAATGAAACACAGGCTGCTTGCCGGCAGTTGAGGGAATTTACTTGCGGAGAGCCAGGGCCTTGCAACTCGCGACGTCAAAAACCGAAAACAGACAGGGTGCTTCAGATACGGTGAGCTTGTTGTCTGAGCCTGTACGCATGCCGCATGACGATTATCGGATCGTCTTCTGGAGCTGTTTCGTTCAACATGTCCATCTCTCGGTCTGTCTGGTGCTTTGTCTCCGTCATCAATCACTTTCTGTCTTTCTGACCATGTCTTTCTGCCCTACTGAGTTGTTTTGAGGGAACGACATGCTATTCGCCTTGACCCCGGCCAAAGCGCCGGTTACCCCAAACCTCTGCATCCCTTCCAGTACCAAACAATGATTCGTCCTGCGCCCCCATCCTCCCGTGCCCGTCCTCGGCAACCCCACCCACCCACCCTAAAGGCTGGACGCAGGCCCTAAACTCCCCCAACATCTTCCAGCAGTTTTTATTGGGGACTTCGAGTCAGTATGCACTCTCCGCTGGCGCGGGCCGCGCCGAGGCGACGATGCGAAAACTGCTTTATTTTTGTATCTGGTGGTATGCTATACGATAATAATTCTAACATTTCTATATTATGCGATGTGTACGCTATTTCTGCTCAACCACTATAGAGTGTATCATCGTAGTCGTGGCACCTCAGGCAATGTGCGAATGTGACTTCTGCCCATCCGAGCGATGCCTCGCAGAATCCACGCGATGCCAGGATCGAGTCTACTGCGCACCAACTCCAGCTGTGCTGAGCCTCAGCTCAGAGCCACAAAGACTTGACCATCCCTGAACTCAAGTTCCCACTGCGGAAAACCTGCCGCGCCCGAGAGCCAAGCTGGCATCTTTGCGTCGTTTATTGTATTCAGATACAAGCCGATAGCACAATGTGGTCTACGGAGTCTACAGGCCCGCCAGGACAACTCCAGCCTTGCCGGCTTAGCCTCACAAGGACTACCACGGGGCCCTGGAAGTGCTTTAGGCACGGGTTCTACTCAGCCTTCGTCTGATTCTTGTCGAGAACAGAGTATGAGGGTGCGGTGGAGGGGCTTTTCAATGTAGCCGTCGTCGCGCCAGGCAGAGGTCACAGTCTTCAACTGCGTGAAGAAGTTGACGCCCGCCTGCATCTGGAAGGCTCAACGAGCTCACGGCAAGGCACTAAACTGAATGCGGCCGTGCCCGATCAGGCGAGGCCTTCCCGTAAAAGTTCAGGTCTCCCAGGATCGACTTCTTGTTCCCGGTGAAGGAGAACATCGGCAGTGGAACCTGACACGTGGGCGAACTGAGCCCAGAAGGCCAGACGGGCCGATGCGGCAGAAATGTGGCAAAAATCGCACCCTCGTGTAGCCGAGGAGCTGGGATCGGGACGTTGACGCCGACCTGCGAAAGGCGGCTACCAACGTGGCCACCCCCCGGGGCCGCCACATTGCATCTTCCGGATCTTCCGGCACCCCCAGCAGAAACCCCCGACCACACAGAAGCCCCGTCTTCAGCCAGAAGCCCTACAATCATGAGCATACGCCATCACTATGTTCAGGGTACGCTGATATAGCCAGATGCTTTCGGAGAGCCCGTAGCTGTCGACATCTTCAACATGATCAAGGACCGTTGACCCCCTTGCCCGTCATGCAAGCACTGCAACGTCCAATCAAGAAAGCCCCTTTTGTGCTCTAGGGGTGTTCAGTGTGAGTTGGGGGCAAGTTCTCAAGCGGTCGACTACTTCCAGCTCGACAGAGGTGGTGGGCGCACACCCGCGTTTGTCACAGCTGAACCTCTGTGCTCTGCATGTTGTCCCCGACTGCCCTGCGGCCTGTCCCGCTTCAATCTCGTCGGTGAATTTCCGGGCAGCCGCCCCGCTGCGCGTGAAGACGGCGGTGCCGTTGCCGTAGGGGTTCCTGGGATTGCCGCGCCGTGACAGCCAACGGCATCTAGCTCTTAGTCAAGCAGCTTCCGGATGCTCCAACCTCTCCTTGTAGCTGCGTCCAAGACGCGAGTTCACGAAGTTGATGGCTTCTTCGAAGGAGTCGACCTCCACACAACAGAGCACTGGGCCAAAAATCTCGTTCTCGTAGATCTGCATTCCCTTCTTCACCTCTGCAAAGATGCTCGGTCCAACGAAATAACCACTCTTGTTGACCTCTGGAAGGGAAGGCTTCCGTCCGTCCAAAAGTAGGCGTGCACCCTCGTCCATGCCGGATTGGATCAGAGCCTCCACCCTTTCCTGGGCTTTCGAAGAGATCAAAGGACCCACGTCGGTCTGGCCATCGTCCCCTGGGCCCACGCGGAGCTTGGCAGCCTGTTCGGCGATCTTGGGGATCCATTCCTTCGAGGCCCCGACGAAGACTGCCACGCTGATGGCCATGCATCGCTGCCCGGCGGCACCACATGAGGCGCCGACGAGCTGGTTCACCACACTCTCCGGGTCGGCATCGGGTAAAACGATGGCATGGTTCTTGGCGCCCAAGTTGCACTGGGCGCGCTTGCCGTTCCTTCCGGCTCGCTCGTAGATGTGGGCACCTGCCGCGTTGCCACCCACGAAGGAGACTGCCCGGATGTGCTCGTCATCGCATAAGAAGTTCACCGTGTCGTGACCGCCATGGACCACGTTTAAAACCCCTGGTGGCAAGCCGCAGTCGTGTGCCATCTCTGCCAGCATCACGGCCGACAAAGGAACTCTTTCGGAGGGCTTCAGCAAAAATGTGTTGCCAGCGGTGGTTGCCGGTGGGAACATCCAGAGCGGAATCATTGCTGGGAAGTTAAAGGGAGCGATGCCGGCGCAGACGCCGAGCGGCACCCTGTAGGAGTGCACATCGACACTGTTGGCCACGTTCGGCAAGGTCTCCTGAGATCTGGACAGAGTCATGAGCAAAGTCAGAGCAGAGACTCAGACTTCGGGGTCTCGAACATCAGGAGTCATTGCAGTTCGGGAAAGCTGCAAGGACACCATTCCTGCACTTTCGACAAACCCGCCACGGAATCTGAACATGACAGGGCTCCCCTTGGATCATCGCCGGAATGTTGCAAGCCATCTCCACAACCTGACCATCCACACTTCCCACATTTGAGCTGGCCGGTCTTGAGTTGTGTCTTGCTGCGCTGCTGCAGTGCATTACGGTGCAGCAAGGAGCTTACATGACACAACGACACATCAAGCAAAGGAGGGTCGCAAGTGTCAGCAAACCTTTTTCGACCTGAGTCCCGAGTTCCGAAGGCCTCCAGGCCACGGAAGATGTCGCCCTTGGCATCAGCGATCGTCTTGCCCTGCTCCTGCAGGAGCGCGAACACTTTCTTCATCTTTCTACTGCGTTTCGAATAGAAACATCATCGATACCCATGTTTTGCACAGCCGTCCGAAATTACCTCCTGTGGCGATGATCTCTAGACCTCCACGAATGCCACTCGCCGCCCGTTTAGAGCCTTGACTTCTCACATCTCACATCCAGGCAGCACAGGCTGATGGACGGTTCGCCCCGAGCTCCTTCGTCAGAACTTGTGCGAGGGCATCAGTGTTGTCACGGATCGCACCCTCGAGCTTGTGCCTTGCACAACGGATGTTCATGCCAAGTACATGCCACACCTCACGCTTTCAGGAGCCATCTGGGGCATGGCATCACAGAGCATCTAAGAGGACCTGGGAAGCGGGTGCACCGGAATTCCGGGCCAAGGCCAGGGCATCACGCGCGCCCGCGTGCTCGGAGGCGTCCGCCTCCACTCCTCAGAGGCCGAGTCCGTCCGGATACAGCGCGGAAGGATACAACGATACGCAGAAAGGTCACGACGGAGCACTGCCGAAGCCCGAAACTCCACGAGCCGAACCAGGAAATGCCTGGGGACCCCGAACACCCCGGGCCCCGCACCTTGAACGCCTCAGCACATGAGTCTGCCGCTGACCGCAGCCTCAGCCCGTTTGCGGTTCCCGATAGGTCTATAGCAATTCCTGTTGCAATACACACCTTGCTGTGCTGCTCCGCACCGGAGCTGCCGCCCCAGTGGCTCGTCTGGTGTACATTGGGGCGTCCGCGCAATCAGCTCGCCTGACCACTGCCCCCCAACAGAAGGACTAGACTCTCTCTCCAGCTGATCGAACTGGGCAGTCATGTAGTCAGAAAGTGAGGCAGGATGAGATGAAGAACCACCCCTGGCTGGAGTCTCTCCTGTCGCAGGGTTGTGGACATCGAAGAAGGTGGAGGTCTTCGACGACACCTTCTTGCCGTCAAGAACCATAGGCACCTGAAAAGAGGCTCAGAGTTTGCTTGACATTTCGGTACTTCGGTACTGAAGCTCCCGAAGTTCCTCGGCCTCCGCCACTGCGGCCATCTGCCGAGCATGGAGGGCACGACACCGGAGAGGAGCCCGGAACATCGCCGTCGCCATGGCCGCGCGCCGAGAGCCGGCTGGGCTGCGAGATGAGTTTGAAAGGGAGAGGCTGAGAGTAAACTGCAGTAGCCATCCTCTTCGGTGGAGCCCTGCCCGTAGTCTGAGTCCCTTGTGTGAGAAGCCGGTGGTGAAGCTGTGAGCCCGGGCAGGTGAAAGTCGCTAAATAGGATTCGACCACGTGTTTGCAAGTGGAGCTCACAACACCTATCATTTTCTTGCTCCAGTTCTCTTGCGCTCTTGGCAATGGGCAACGGTGGCTTCAAAAGAGGTGAAACCGGTAAAATTGCATCGGCTGGAAGTGCTTTACCGCGAATTGAGGGGTGCCTTGCCTCGCCATCAGCGCACCGATTTTGTCCGGTATGGCCTCACGTGTCGATCCAGTGAAGAGCCACAGAGCCCACCTGGCGCGAACTGCCGGAGCGAACTGCCTCTGTCTCCAAAGCACCAGCGAAATGCACAAAGGCCCTCTCTCTCCCCAACAAGATTGGACGACTTCGCGCTCACATCGGTCCAGGCGCAGAGAAAGGGAAGGGTCCCAGTGGCGCCTCAGTGCAGCTGTAGCACGTGTGGCTGCGTGTCACTTTAGGCAAAAGGCTCAGACAAGTCTCAGACAGCGTTGCCGGCAATTTTGAAGCCTATGTTGGCGCTGTGCGAGGAGAAGATTGGGATTCGGATTCTCCGTGCAAGCTCTGCGGACTCCCACAGCTCTTCAGCAGACGGGAGGAGCCACTTAAACATCTTCAAAATCCTGGCGGAAACCAGCACTTGGAGCTCCACCTCCGTGGCTGTGGGCTTCCTTGGGAAGCTCGCTGTGCTCGAAGCCCAGTCTGCCAAAAGGACCGCTCTGAGTCCCCAAAAGGGTTCCTGTTCATAAGAAGGCCCTGGTTTTGAGTTGTTGCTGCGCGCGCTGCGCATCAGAAGCCAGCAGACTGGAAGCGACCAGCCGACCACGTACGGGAGCGCCCGTGCCGGCGAGGCTGTACAAGACCGCACAGGGTCACAGGGTGCTCGGGCTAATGGGGCCAGTCTGTGTGCCAATGCTGCCTGGGACGAGCACCCTGACAGCCAGGGTTGTCACCCGAAGTCGGGACGACGGACTACTACTTACACTAACACAAGGGCCGAACCAATTCGAACAAGGCTGCAGAGTGCCCTTTCTGCATAGCTATGGCTGGATGTAGGAGGACTAAGGCGAGACTCATTTGCTTTGGTTCCCCTCTTCTCGTCTCCATCGAAAATTGCTCACCTGTCCCGAGGCTCCTCACGAGGTGTTTCGGGCCACTTCAGCTCCACGGACTCCATCCCGCCAGGAAGCGCTCCCGACACCTGCAGCGCAGCGGCGTCCTTTAATTTCAGCTCGTTGCTAAGGAGTCCTATTCTGGCAAAGTCTTCAGGGGAGTCCGGTCCTGGCGGAGTCTACGCCTACGCCCTGGGCCCAGACGGCCTACATGCAGCCAGGAAGCGAGAGTGCCCAGTGACACCACGAGCTCGGAGAGTTGGTGGGTACCTGCCGGCGCGACGCGGTACGAGCTGTGCTTATTTGCCGGGCTCAAAAGCTACTACTAGATGAGCTTGGCAGTTGAGCTATTGAAGCTTCACTTCTGCTGTTGCTCCAGCGGCCGCCACGAGGTTGTTACAAGCCCTCAGCTCTATCAAGTAGAAGTCTATGCAACGCCTGCTCAGAACTGCCAGCAACTGAGAATGTGCAGCAACAGCAAACAGCAAACGGCAAACAGCAAACGGCAACAGCAACAACAACAACAACAACAACAAGAAGCAGAACAAGACTAGCAAGAACCATTACATGAACAAAAGAACGATAACATAATAACAACGACAGCAACAGCAGCGACAACAACAACAGCAACAACGACGAAGATGATTAGGATGATGACTATGATGATGAGGATGATGGGTGCTGATGCTGATGGTGATGCTGATGGTGATGATGATGGTGATGATGATGATGATGATGATGGTGATTGTGATGGTGATGATGGTGGTGGTGGTGGTTGTGGTGATGATGATGTCGACAATGTCAACAATATCAACATCGACATCGGCAAAGATGACATTCTCGCGTCGCAGGGAGCACAGCCTTGCTGCACAGCCATGAGCTCCTCCCAAAGCTTGTTGTTCTGCTGCTTCAAGGCCTCGGATCCGTGCCGTGACTCGCAACTTGAGAGGGCTCCTGCGCAATTCCTCGGGGAGGGGGGTCCGTCTCTTTGGCTCTCCGCCCAGGTGCAAAGAGGTCCACTGATCTGGCTGGTCCGTGGAGCTGCAAGCACCGCTCCTTAAACTCCTGCACCCAGGCGGCGTCTTTCTTTCTATAGCTCTGAAGAGGCTTGTTGGTTGAGGGCTTAGGCCTTAGGCTTTGGGTTTAAGGCTTCGACCAAGAAGAGCCTCAAAGCTGATCAGGTGGTCCCCATCGGCGTCCAAGCTATCGAAGAGCGTCCATGCGTCCATGGCATTCATCTCGATTGCACCAAAGAAGGCTCTCATGTCCTCCTCCTCAAACATGCGCTCGAAATCTATGATGGTGATCTTCCCCGCCCCTGCCTTGTCCATCTTCTTCCACAAGTCTCCGACGAGATCTTTGAGCTTGTACATATTTTGCATGAGCGTTTCGTGATCTTTTTCCCGTGTCTTGATGGCACTATTCACAAACACTCCTGTGATGACATTGAGAACTGCCAGCCCACAGAAAGCAATGTACAGGTGAAAGAGCTGTACCCAGAATTCGCCCAAAGGCAGCAGAGCGTCAGCGGCTTCCCTCCAGTCAAAGCCATTCATCAATGCACGGAAGAGTGTTGTGCAGGAATGAAAGACGCTCCCAAAATATAGCTTCAAATCCGCATCGTTTGGCTCGTCGAACCAGAACCTAAGTTGACAGCAAGGCTGCGAAATCCAACTTCTCTGCGCACATCGCTGTCTTGTGTTCTCAAGGCCTTTCTCTTCCCACCTTGCTGACTACCTGCCACTGTATGACGATATGCAGGCAATTCACCCAGGGAAATGCTACGACACACGCGCAGATAATGCAAAGAACCAAAGAGAGACAGGGGCGACATGTAGACACAGACGGACCGACGGACACACAAAGAAAGACACAATCACAGCCCTTATGTATAGACACAGGCATATGTGTATATACGAGATGTATACACGGGTATATTCACACAGACATGTGTATTTACATACATACATGTGTATGTATGTATGTATGTATGTATGTATGTATATATATGTATATATATATATATATATAATTGACACGGAGACACTCGTACAACAGGCAGAGCGGAACTCAAAGAGAACAACACGTGAGCATGCGGAGATGCGGCTCGGGCATGCATGTGTTCTGTTCCACATGGCAGGCTTCACCTGTCCCACATGCGAGCAAAGCCACAGGTGATAGAGAACGGCATCGGTAAAGAGGATACCAAAGCTGTAGATAATCAGGGTCAACAGGACCATGGCCCACAGCCTGGATTGGGGTTAAGACCCGCCGGGGTTGAAGTAGAGTCAGGGAAGCCTACACCCTGAACTCGGCTGTTTGCTAGTAGCGACACGCGCCCTTCATCAGCCCCCAGCACCCGACATCAAACCCTGAAGCTGCCCCCTCTGGGCTGTTGGCCGTTGGGCCTTGCAGCAAGGGCCCTTGTGGGGCCCTTGGACTTGGGGACTTGGGTGTGGGCAAACGTGGCTTTTGCATTGGCTTAGCGTATGCTTAGCGTTGCAGCAACTGCAGCAAGCATGGAGGCTCCTCTGCTACTGACGGCCAGGGCTCAGTTGCCGCGTCGTGTCGATCACCGAGTAGACCAGCGCGCGAAAAGCGCTGACGAAGCGAACCTCAGGTTACAAGCTCCGGTTGAATACTTTATTGGGTACAAGTTCTCTTGTACCGGGTTTGCACAAACAGACTATTTATCTTTTTGTTGTCCAGTATGCATGCCTGCGTCTTGAGATAAAGATAGTTTGGAGTCCAGAAGACCAAGTGATCACCTTGACCATCCTTCATCGCAAGCATCGTTCTCGCCAGTACCACCATCATCATCATCATCAGCAGCATCATCATCATCAGAGCATCATCATCATGGTCCTGATCGTGATGCCGACCAGTATGATGCTTGCCACCAGATGGATACACGTTAAGCCGATCTGTGCAAGGCCGAGCCACTATTCGCACTGATCGCAGCACCTGAAGCAGCCTGGTGAGCTTGAACACCTGCCAGACAGATCGCAGCGTGCAGCCCGAACTGTACTGGTAGCAGTACAAGCCAGGGTGGCAGTCTGGTATAAGCACGTTTATGATGGGATGATGGGGGTCGAATCCTTATGCTCAAGTGCCCAGGGCGGCCGCAAGGGTTTTCCCAAGGCTTCGGTGAGGGCTCGAGGTTTCTGGAGCCCGTAAGGAGCCCACCCGGATGATGCGGAAGTTGCTGGCTCCGGTCCCCGGCTCTGTAGCGTTGGCAGATGCGATGTCCATGCAGATTTCCACCCAGGCCGGGACCACGACCTCGGGCGAAGCAGTGAACTTCCTTTCGTAGGAAAAGACCCCCGAAGGCGGAGGGTTCACACAGATGCTTGCAGCCAGGCAACAAATATATCCAGCCAATTCCAAGCGCACGAGTGCCCAAAGAAGTACGTCTTGGGACCGGTTGCGATGAAGCGGATGAACATCTCCTGGGATGGAGAAGACGGTATCAGTCAGCCACCACTTCACTTTGTCACTATCGTTCTTGGTCTTGATGCATTTCACCGCTACTCTCCGGATTTTTCATGTTCTCTTTTGACTTGCTGCAGTACTGGCCGAGGCTCCACCGAGAACAAGGTCGCATAGATAAGGTGCCCGGCAAGAAACCTTTTGACAAAGCAGACACGACCAACAAAAGGCACAATGCAGCCGCAAGACACGACTGAAATTCGTCGAACTTCGTACTCAGGGGAGGTTTGCGCAGTCGTCAGAGATGGATGAACTACTGCCTGCACCTGCACAATACTCTCAGTTGCCTTCCCACCACACCACACATTTTGGCAGTGGCCCCAGAGCCCCTGTCAAAGAACCCGGATGCTATGCCAAGCAACGCGGGCTCCACGAGTTGATCCACCTCAAGGGAGAGCCACGGGGAAACAAGAGCAGGGGGGAAGGGCTTATATTCTTGCCTTGATCGCAGGATGTTGACACTTGACGTGGCATTTACGGTGTATAAGCTTTCTAGGGTTTAGGGCTATCCCGAAACCCCAGCTGCACCTGCCAGGCACTCCACTCCAGCTGGAGGCCCAAAAATACGGAGTTGGAAACGATGACCTGGCAGGTTCTGGGCAGCATTGGGGTGGGGGGAAGTCTGTGACGTCCTAAACTCTTAGCTACCCGGAAGCCTTGAACTCGAAAGTCCTTAAACCCTCCCCCCCCTGCTCCCCTGCTCCCCCCGCCACGCCGAAGAAGACGTTGAAGGCCAAAGAGTTGGCGACTCTCGCGGCCTTTTGCTGCATCTTCCGGGCCCAGGACTGCAGCTTGGTCCTGGGGCGCTTTTAGGGTTTACTAGTTTGGTTTAGGTTTAGGGTTTCGGGTTTAGGGCTAAAAGTTGCGGTGCAAAAAGGGACCGCGCAGGACGGCTGCTACCGAGTGGGACTGGCAACTCGGAAGCCCTGAAGGGGTGTCGGAACGCCTCGCGCCGAAAGCAGCAGCGGCAAGCCGCAGGGCCACACGAACACCAACGCCAATCCCTAAATCCCTAAGCCAGACAAACTCACAAAGCCCTGAACGCACCTGACCCATATAGCCCTTTATAAAGGGCCCCAAAGCAAGCCTCCCTAAACTCCCCACACCCTAAACCCCAAACCCT